TTACGCGACGAGATGGAAACCCATCGTCCCCGGCGAAACTTTTTATCGGACGATCATATCTCTTCGGCCATTCGTTGACTTCTTCTCTAGCCCTCTTGTCGGATAGCCCTCTTGGCGGTTAGCATCGGGCATATATTACTCGACGATGTCAAGGTATTCTTCCCGACTGACCTAAACGTCGCATCGCGTCGATTTCTTTTTAATTTATCACGAAATGTTCATTTTTTCCCCGTAAATGTAGTGAGAAAAATAGATTTTACGATAAATCTATAATGAAAATATTTGAAGACCGCGAGGTGGCTGCAAAGACCGGCAGGTGATAACCTTGCACGCTGCTTTTTAATTTTTTACGTCAAATTTCTCGATAATGAAATTCCTAATTAAAGCGGAGAGTATAATGAAGAGTCTGTGTTAGAGTCCGTCTGAATTCTTCAAACTTAATTCCTCGTTCTTTCCCTTCCATTAAATTTTCTCTAAAGATGGAATTCATCGCGAAATACGTCCGATAGAAAGTGACTGTCAATATCCCGTATACATAATTTAACTTCCTATCTAACAGACGACCTCTAACCAAAGTCGTGTATTCTATCACATCAATATATATTTCTTACGATATGTTGTATGTACATAAAATACTGTACTCAGATATTTATGATAATAAAACGTTTAAATTTAGTTGGCAAGAAATATTCTCTTGCACGCTCACCGAAGAACAATGAGGAAATGTAAATAATGAGAGATAATTTTATCGACCCGAATATACGCCAGTACAATACGTAACATAAATCAGGATCTACATACTTTTTCTCGACCACAGGTTGAAAATTGAATTATTACTTCGGAGTAAAAATTGTTTCAATAAAAAGACATAAATTCAGAAAGTAATTGAAAATTAATCTTTGTCACATTTTTGCTTGCCACAGTGTTTGGTCGTACTCGTGGAAATTTTGATCGTGCCTCCTTTTACGTGGTAATAATATATCGATCAATGTCTTTCAATCTTCCATCACATTTGATGCCGGACCAAATGACGTAAACGCCTCGCGAGACATTAACAGCAAATGACAGGCAAATCTGTTCCTCCCTCTTGCCTTTTCCTCCTGAAGAAATACCAGGCTCCGTCGACCGCCCGTTTTATAAGCTATAAAACGGGAGACGTTTCCATGCCCTTACGAGGCCGTAACTATGAAAGGATAGGGAAATACTGGAGAATCGGTCCGCCGCGTGGCTATCGATCGTCTTTTAGCACACAGACTACTTGCTTCTCCTCGGTCCTTCTTCGTCACTCACACCGTCCGACTTTGACTGTCGTCGCTCCTCTCGGAGATAAATCGAGTTTACCGCCAGGTACCGCGCTCGGGACAAAGTTATTATAGTTTCGATTCGATTACGTCGCAACTGCAACGACAGTTACAATGAAAAACCAAGCGTCTCGAATCTCACCTATTTTCTACCCTTTCGTACCCTTTTATCGGTCACGACGATCTTTGCCCTAGATCGGCTGGATCTCTATCTTTTAGGAAATTCCTCGCTTCGACACTGAAGCGGCAAAAGTACGCGTGTGAAGTTGGCACATGAGTTGATACTTTATTTGAATATTTTATTTTTGATATCGAATCAGACATCAAAAGTAGTTTGAGGGCTAGAAAAATTTGAAAAATAAGAAGAGTACTTGAAAGAAATTAATATCTTCATTAATATCAAATAAATTAATAATTATTTTTATAAAATATATGTTGTAACATTTGTAAATTTTGGATAATACATATTAATTATTAAAAAAAAAAGGATTTTAAATAAAAAATATAAACAATTTAATATCGTTATCGTAAAGCGGAAACGGTACCAAAGAAAATCTCCGATTAGGTGCCAATATTTTAGATACCTCAGTTCCGTAATCTCTCTAGTCAATTCAGATAACTACATAGGTATTAGTTGGATATCCGCGTCTAATTTACCTGGATAATAGGTTGAATAAACCTAGAAATGCTTAATTTTAATAGAATACGGTTAATTTTAATAGAATATTCATTTATTGAAAATGCATGCTTTTCCCTAAATATTGAAAATATACTAAATACTTTTTGATATTCCATAATATAGAGATTTTTAATTTCAATCTCTTCTTTCGGGTTTAATAGAAATTTAATAGAAATAAAAAAATTCTTTTAATAGAATGGAATTCTTTGATCAACCTAAGTTTATTTCTTTTTAACAAAAATGTCAAGACATCATTAATTTCAAAGTTACAAGTAATTAAAGAGGAAAGGTTCTTTCAAGAATTTCAGAAATATAATGTAAATAAACGCGCGCGATAAAATTTTGTAATTAAATTGAAAATGGAATTTATTTTAATAAAATTTTAAAATATAGTTTTAGTATATGTACAGTGAAAAAATATCGAAAAGTTGTAATAAATGATGACATCCTTTGACATTTCCGGAAAGGAAGAATCGATCGCAAATTAGCTAAAAACAATCTTTCATTGATAGAATATCCGGTAGTTTTGGGACATTCTATATATTAAACTTTGCAGGAAACTTTAGGTACATTTTACAGTTGTTATTTATTATTTCCGCCCCTAGCTGATATGAATAATCGTAACATTCAGCAAAATTGTAAAATGGAAAGCACCTCTTGTCATGATTATTCATAAACTGGCGACAGAAACAATACAATATTCTCGTTCCAACGATACTGACATAATTTGAGTAAACGCAGAAACAAGATTATTATTCTTCTTAATAAAACGAGAATTAATTAATAGAGAGAATTTAATTCTTCGTTATGATGTTAAAGCGTAAAATCTTATATTTAATCACGTAATCCGGTGTTAATAATCATGATACGTTATACTTGCAATTTGATCATTTTGTTGCAAAGGTTATTACAGCGAACTCCGGATACTTATTGAAGTCCGCCGTTGCCTGCAGCTTCCTCTCCCTTTTATCGTTTGTGTTGCGTTGCCTTTTTTCCTCCCTGCTACACGTAGCGATCGGTCCATCGTCCGCAGGACGAGCTGACACGTATCAAAATGTGGAAAAATAGGACGAAGCCAGCGAATATTGTTGCGTACGTGTCGGGAAATCGTTTACTCCGTCGTCGCGCAATGAAAAAAAATTGAAAGGAACAAAAAATACGGAGTATATTGTTCGTATATCTGACGATTTCTACTTTCCGCACGTCATCATAATACATGTTGTCTATCTATATATATTGTGTACACGTAGCCATATTTCTCCTCAATGGAAATGTTGGATTCGTGTCAAGCCATGAAGAACGACGCTTGTTTCAAAGTGAAGACATATATATAAATAGTTTCTGAACTCTATGCAATTGTAAGCGAAAAGTCAAGATAATCTGGTCTTTGAAAAAGTATACCTAAGGCAAAAAAATTAATTTTTTCTGAATAAAATCTTTCGTATAATGAATATTAAAAAAAATATCTCTCTTTCTCGCACGAAGCTTTTAGTAATTCGCGAGAGAATATTTTCTTTTTTTTAGATTTGTCAGAAGTTCTTATCACGAGAATATGATTCCTAGGACACTCCGTGTTAATCGCGTAAATAAAAATAAAATTAATCGTCATCAGCACGTTCTTCCGACGCAGCAATAAACACAATGCAACTAACGACACAGCGAGAAAAAGACGCCTCGAGTCGTGGAAGTGCCGTTTGGCGAAGTAGATATTCACGAGCAATGCTGAAATATCGCTGCGACGTGTCGAGATTGGGGATAACGTAACGTGCGACATTAATTCGCGCGATGTATTTCATAATCCACGATTGTAACTTTTCCCACGTACCAGCTGCTGTCAGACAGCGGCCTTCCATTTCTCTATGTAGTGCAGTATCGCTTCCGCGATCGGTTCATTCGCCCGGGTGGGCATCCACTGCGATCCAGCATCCAGCATCCAGCGCGATCTTGTCCGTCGTGAGGCGGCGCGGCGTTACGCTTCCCCGGATACACAGCTTTCACATATAATGGAAAAACTTTGGACGCGAGGACGACAAGGCGAATATCGCGCGTTTCTCATTCTTCTCGGTCAGCGACGATAAACACGGTGAACGCGTCCGCTGCACCGTACCGCGTCAGTAATGTCGGAGTTTCTGCATTCCTCGGTGGCGTTGACGGAGCACGCTGGTCCGATCTATACCATCCACGAGAAGAACAAGAGTGTCGCATAAAAGCGCACGGTTCAAGTGACTCGCCTACTTCCTACATCGGAAACCACTAACGGCAGATGGAAGTCCAGTTTTACTCTTGTATTTTTAACTGGGAATATTTCTTGCCGATAGTTTGTGTTGGTCTAAGAAAAATGAGGAAAATAAAATGAACAGTTGAAGAAAAAGAGGTAGAAAATATTACACTCGATTAAATATATAGGTACTACGTACGTGAAAAAGATGTTTTCGCTGTATTTAAAAATTTAACTGGATACACACACACACACACACACACACACACACACATACATATACGAGTATACAGATTTGAAAATAATTTTGTTGGACTATCAAAATAATTATGCTCATAATATGATGGGCAATGCTGCAAAAGATTTTAACATTCTAACAATTAGCTTGAGCGTCCTGTACAATTATTTTGATAATGCAACAAAATTATTTTCAATAATAAGATTGAAAATAAGACCGTTTATGTTAGAAACATTACTTTAAATACGAAGCTCCACTACAGTCTGAATGTTAAGATGTTGAACTATTATATATATTCATATTAAATGAATTAATTTCAGAAATTATAATTATGTGCCGATATGGTTGTCGAACTTTCAACGTAATATCAATCTGAAATATTAATAATTCCCCTAAATTTCCCAAATTTAATCTTAAAAAACTGTAATAAACTTATCGCGAAAAATATTGCCTCGACCGGGAGTCGGACCCGGATCTCTTGCATTCTGTGCGAGTGGTCGTCCTAAGTCTTTAAGCTCATTCTACATAAAGCCTATTCTACAATTACGTAAGCGTAGTTGTAAGTAATTGTAGTTGTAAGAATTGACCAATCACGGTTGAATATTCTTCTCATATTCGACAGTGATTGATCAATTCTTACAACTACAACTATTTACAACTACACTTATGCAATTGTAGAATGGGCTTAAGACGCAGAACACAGGTCGCAGATCGCAAAACTACACTGTTAAATCTATAGTATCAAATTTAACCTAATGTGAGTCGCCACTGCTCCTATTAAATATATCGTTATTTTTTACTAAAATGACAATTAAATTTGACACTATATAATGTTAAATTGATACTGTATAGTGTCAAACATAACCATTGTTTTAGTAAAAAATAACGATATTACTGAGTAGAAACAGTGGCGACTCACATTAAATTAATTTGACTCTATAAAATTTAACAGTGTAGAAACTAACGTATTTTAATTATGATATGATTGTAGGACGCTGAATGCAGGACGCAGAAAGTTGGGTGAACTTCAACTTTCGCGTCCTACGTCTTGTGTCCTACGTATTATAGGTCTGCGACCTATTATACAATCGGAAATACGTTTCACTTGCGATCTGCGATCTGCGTTCTGAGTAGAATGGACTTTAGACCATCCGAGACGTTAGCAATATTCCTCGCAATAACCGATACGTATAGAGAGTTAGGCATTTTAGACGAGCCCCAGTGAGAAATGACAATGAAATCGACGTCGAATCGATGTCGATTCGACATCGAAATCATCGAATTGACGTCAAATCGACGTCGATTCGACGTCGATTTCATTGTCATTTCTCACTGGGGCGTGTATAAAAAATTATTTTAAGATTTAGTTAAATTTTTAGATACTTTGACAAAACCGTTCTTTTCTATACGTACAGATTTCTCGTCACGATAAATATTATATAAATTAATATACCTTTATTTTTGTTATATTTTACGTTATTTTATTACATTATAAACCAAAAGATAAACAGGGTGGAATGATAATGAATCGTCTAAATCGTGAAAATCTCATAATCTCGATTTCGCGATTTATTACCCGTAGTTGCTGTTATTTAGACTCGCATCTATATCCCAGGTTGAGGAATAAATTTGCACCTTTAGAAACAAAATTCACGACTATTTGAAAGTTTTGGTACGAAGTGGCGCGGTTTACGCCATGCCCGATCGATTGCATACATTTTAACTGAATTCTCCCTTGTAACTGTTGATCGCGGCACTTTATCGTCTATTAGTTTTGCCCCATCTAATCATTCTTCTATCGCGAATGCCGCATATAATTCAACGCGTTTTACACCATTTCGCCTGAACATGCCGCATAAATATGCGGTCATCGCGTGACTACAAGCGTCGAATTGCACACTCTTCTCAACCGCAGTTAATCACGTGGAGTTGGGAAACGACAAGTCTCTTGTGCCTTGGAGAACGATAGGTTGTTCTCTTTATCGAATCGGGGAATGACATCTAAATACTTCTGTATTTTTTGTCCAAATCATACCTTCGCATCACGTGGTATATACAAATGCACCCCATGCATATAGATTGTTTTTCAGCCGTTTCAATCAATATTTACCCGGACTATCCCCGCTCGCTCTCGTGCGCGACTTCCGTTTTCGCAATCAGAGCATGTACTTGCTTACGATATGGATTGTTCGGAAGTAATGAAAAAAAAACCTGTATACTACTCCTCGGGGAATCTATCTCTCTATGTCTACTTCTTATCTCTCTTTTCTTTGTGTGTTGGTCGATTCTTTATTAATCCTACTGATCTGTTCGAATCTATTTGACCCAAAATGTAATTTATTTTCTTAATATTTCTCTAACACATTTTATGTTTTACTTATGGAAAAACTCTAATCTCTGATATTTGATGAGTTCGTTTATGAATATAAAATCTTTTTTGTACGAAAATTTTTATTTTTTATTCTTTAGAGCTTTTTAAACATATTGTGATCATAAATGTAAACAGATCAGTAGGATTAAATTGCCTAACCGTGCATTTATCATTAAAAAAAATATATTAAATAACCTATACGGTCGAAACTAAATCCTGGTACTTTATAATATTTTTATATAAAGTCTAAATTATACATTTTTATGTATATTACAGTTATATAAACTGCGCTCCGCCTACTGTCGGACTTGAAATGCAATCATAAACTGAGACAAAAATAACAATACCATAATTATATATAAATTCATCATCTATTTGGTAATGATATAGTCAAAAAAATTGATAGATGCTATCAAAGGAGTGTACATAAATATATAAACTTTCTTTTTTATTTATTGAAGCTACCCTTCAGATTAAATACAATCTCAAATTTTACGTCGCATACTTTTCAATTCCACACTCTATTAACTAAATGAAATCTCAACGTATTTCAAGTTCATAAATCTTAGCTGAGTTTACACCTCATAGCACACCTCATATTACATCGAGTGGATATGATTTGCGGTTAAAACAGCGAGATGAAGCGCGACCATATTCAAAAATGTGATTCTACCTTGCGGTTGCCCGGAAGGTACGAGATGATAGCGATTTTCCGCTCTGAACCGAGTGTTGCAAATCAATCTCCGTGCAACCGACGGTTCCCGTCGTAGCTATCATTTTTATGCCCGCTTGCCTGACGTCGCAGGGAGGGTTGCGACGACGGTGAACGGTAAGGTAGTAGTCCCTCGAAGATGCTCTCGAGCAGTAGCAACGGCGCGGCGAAGAGTACATTTTTCCGCGGTAGAGGAAATTTGAAAGTCAAATTGCTGGAAGAGGAAGATCGTCGAGCTGCTCTAACAAAAATCGACTCGAGCCCCTTCCGGCGTGTTCGCGCATTCGTTTGCGTGCTCTATAAGGACTGCCGCGTTTTATTTCCATCCATCCTTTTCTTCGTTTGGTTTATCGCGTTAAAGTAATGATAATAATTTTTTTGTATATGTTTATATATATATATATATGTATGTAAAATTTGTAACTGTATATATATAATTATTCAACGATTAATGTAATCAATAATAATAAATAACAACAAAGAAATAATGTTGGAAACTATTAACAATTGTTGTATCAAGATATAGATGACTAAATTTAAAATGACTGAAAATAAATGATATAGATGACGAGAGATAGACAATTAAAAATAAATGATATTTAATAAATTACATTTTCAGAATACAAAAAGATAGCAAAAAATCTTATTCTTTTCTTTATCTTACGCGCATAAGCGGACAACAGAATTTAAATAACGGCATCTTTAGCTATAAATCTAACGTATTTAATGTTTTTGTTGGGGACATGGATGGATTTCGTCAAAAATTTGCTATTGATCTATTGAAAGCGGACTGTTCCAAAGAAGGATCAACTTTAATAACATGTATAGGGCGTGAACTTAAATGATGGACGGACGGGTTCGTTGCGCTATCCGTGTAAATAGAAACTGTTAACATTTCGACGTTGACGTCGGTTAACCGTTCTGTACTTTGAATCAGTTGCCCGCATCGTTCAAGTATATTGACGCTTCTGGACAAGGACGCTAGGGATGCTTAACGATTGGAGGCAAATTTGTTGAGTCGTATAAGCCCATTATTTGCCGCGCGATTCATTTTAATGTCATCTAGCTACTCGACCAGAGTTAAATGGAAATCCTGCTGCAGACGATAATTCAATTGTTGAAATTTCCATTTCTTATTAAACGACGATGTATCGCGTGGAGACACGGTGCAAATACGATGTGGGAAAAGCGAGGACAAAAGCCACGAACTGGAAAGTGGCTCTGCTGGATAAAATCAATCTCTCCAGCTGACGTCGTAGATCTCATCTCGATAAGAACCACGCTAAATCGCATTGACTCTTGCATAGTTATTGGCCACTTGCATTTATGAGATTTATATAAACTTTTGCGCTCGACATATATTGCTGCATAAACGCATTATTATTCTTCTTCGACGTGATAAACTTTTAAAGGTGACTGTACATTGCTATATCATTGTTAAATGCGAAATTTAATTTGGGCGACAAACTATAATTGACATTCCCATAAGAGAAACGGAGACTAATATGTATAATACAGATTATTCATTTCCGTAGTGTCTGGAAAGGATTATAATTATGACTACGATTTAAACGAAACCTTTATAAATCATTTTATAATTGGAAGGAACTGAATACCTAAGTGTTCAATAATTGAACAATTTATTTATAGCTCGCTACGATTTATCTTATTACCATTTTACCGAGGCACTAACTGATTAGCCTCAAAAGTACTTTACAACGCTGTCTTACTGGCAGTCTCCGCTTATTGGAGTAATAAGATCAACGCTTAAGTAGTTTAGAGCGAAGATAAGTTTGGCAACTGGAATCGTGAAATGCATTTACATAAATAACTTCTGAAATTGCGAGGCTTTTTCCTGGTATTTTCGCGAACTGCATTTACGCAACGTGTAATGACGCGTGTTTTTTACTTTTCTTTGTAGGTGCAAAGATCTGAAAAGAAACGGGCAGAATTCTAGAATATTTTATGTAACCGTAAACACTTCATGCATTTCAAAGATACTTTATCGTTAAATACGTTAATCTACATTAACTACAACTTCCTAAAGTATATATATGTATACTTCGTTAAAAAGGTTTATAATGCCGTGCAATGAAGTGCAAAGTGGAAGTTCGATCAAGGTGAATCTTATTATAATAATTAAGAGACTCTGAAAGAGAAAGAGGCAGAGAGAGAGAGAGAGAGAGAGAGAGAGAGAGAGAGAATCGTACATTTACTGCAATTAAACTCGCTCCGAACCACGGAGCCGAAAAGATAGAAAACGGTAAAACATTCCGCGATCGTGATTTGCATTTATACAGGTTGGCTGTGCGGCGTGTCTCGTTTTACTCGAGGATGATAAATTTATCGTTAGGGGCACACGAACGAACACACGAGATTAAATCCGACGTATACCCTTCGTCGACCTCCTTGGCTACCCTCTCTTTTTTTCGGTCGTTTGATGAGATAAAGCAGGGAAACTTTTCACAGATGAATTTCCATGCTCGTTC